CTGTGGTTTGTAGCCGCAATAGCTTCCTTGACTTAACGCCTGACTTGGTTGCGTACCTAATTTCAAAGAAATCTAGCTGTTCAAATGTAATCACCGACACTTTCATTGAAGCGTGTGTTACTTGGATCATCGAAGACACTTTTTTTCTGTACAACACATAATTTAATAGTGTACATACCTGCAATGGATGACCGGCCGGCAACGCACACTCACGTTTCCTAATCAAAACAAATGACAGCTGAGTGAATTATCGTATTAAGTTGACTGATAACAGTTTGTACAAATGTTAAGAGGTCCTTAATATATTTTTATACAACACTTCCACGGTACAGTCTGTATTATTTCACGATATACGATTTTTTTAAAGTTTTTCCAAGTTAACGTAAATGTTTACGCGGCACGCGAGAGGAAAGGCGCGCGGTCCGTGTAGCTTCGCAGTTATTACTGAGTAAAAACGTATTTTGCTTCGTTCCGACGTATACCACTACGTTCAACGTAGACGTATTCACACAGACCCGCCGAGGGGCTAACAGATCCTTGCTCCAGGATTTCCTACGTAATGTTCTACTGTACAAGGTTTAAAACTTATAATTTATTGTAAGCGCCCACGGAAGTCCTAAATCCGTTCCTATTGGAGACAAAATAGTAAATAAAAGGTACATAAGTGAGGAGGGGAGTTTGATAGAAAAATAACTCTTATTGTCTTACCTTAGCATTGTTATTTAGTTGCATTGATATTGTGACCTATTTGCTTGAATTCTTTGAATAATTACTGCTTCTACTTAAATTAAAAGTAAGTTATTATACAATAGTTGTTCTTATTGTTATATGAAACAAATGAAATGTTTATAATTTAAAGAAAAAAATAAAATTATTCTTTGGTATGTTTTTCTTAGATACCAAGCTTGCATTTGTCGCATAGTATCTAGCAATAGAATAATATAATTAAATTGTACTGAAGCATCCAGTTGCGCAGCCATCTCGCCAACTGCACGTCTGCACGGTTGGTGCGGTGGTTGGGCAACTGGCTGCCGTGCAACGTGTCGCGGGTTCGATTCCCGCATAGAACAACTCTTTGTGTGTTCCACAAATTGTTGTTCCGGGTCTGCGTGTCATGTGTAATTGTATGTTTGTAACGGCACCCGCGACACAGGAGAAAATCCTAGTGTAGGGCAACGTTTAAACGTTTTTAACCGTGCAGACTAGCACGTAGATCTTAGTATTTAATCACTGTATTAGCAGTACAGTGACGTAATACTACAAACGATGTGAAAAATCCGTTGCGTAGTCTTCAAGCTTTAAGCATAAATAGGGATATAGGGACAAAGAAAGCTACACTGTTTTATAATAAGTGGTGATAAACAGTTAATACATTACTTATAGCACGAGCGAAAACATAACGGAGGAGTAACGAGTGCGTTGCCGACGTTTTGGGGATTAGGGATTTGAAGATTTTGGGAATAAGGAGGGATTGGGGGAGAGGAAGGATTGGGCCTCCGGTTGTTTCACGCCGGTTTTCTGTGAGGCCGTGGTATCACTCCGGTCGAGCCGACCCATTCGTGCCGAAGCATGGCTGTCCTACACTTGCCTCAACAATATGCCCCTTGTGTTCAGGTTACTGAATTAAAAGTATTTTTTTAAACGTTGACCCACTTGAATATTCTCCTATGTCGCAGCCACAGTACATTATTGTCACAGTAATAACATCTATTAAGATTACCGTGTTAGGTATTGTGCTTCTTTAAACCCGGTTGCATTGATAGACAACCCATCCACTGATAGGTTAGGAGATTGTGTCTCAACCTTATCTATACTAATAATATAAAAAGGTAAAATTTGTAAGTTTGTATGTAGGGGGTAATCTTTCGAACCGCTGGTCGAATTTCCAAAATTCTTTCACTGATAGATAGCTACAATGTTCCTGAGTGCTAAAGGCTATATTGCTGCTGGATAAAACATCACGCTAAGATTAAATAGAGCCGAGCAGCGGGTGAAACCGCGCGAGGTTAGCTAGTATTATATAATTTAAATTTGTACTGTTATTGCAATTAAAATATGCCAATGGCTTATAAAATAGGCGAACTACAACGATTCCGTAATTACTTATCTATCTATTTATACTACTTATAATAAATCTGTAGAGAGGTCAATTCTGTAAATTAAATATATTTTCAAAATAACTACCAGGTGGTGATAACTAGTGATCGATAGGTACTGATGCCAAAAATGCAATCAGTAAAATTTTTGTCTGTCTGTCAGTCTGTCTGTATGTATGTATGTTCCTTATACCTAGAAACAAAAATTAAACTAAACTTTGCCGCGTTAGCAAATAATTTCCTAACATCTGTAAATACCTAATAAAAGTAGGCGTTGTGTTTAGCCGTGTGAGTGAGGTTACCGGAGGCCCAATCCTTCCCCACCCCCAATCCCTCCTCAATCCCTAAATCTCCAAATCCCTAATCCCTAAAAGGTCGGCAACGCACTCGTAACTCCTCCGTTGCGGGTGTCCATGGGCGGCGCTGATTACTTACCATCAGGTAATCCGTCTGCTCGTTTGCAGATCTATTACATAAAAAAAAAATTAAGCACTATTTTTAACTCCACGGTTATTGTTATGGTTTTTGTTAATTCAATAGAAATTATTAATTTTGTGTTAAATAATTTAAGTAGATAATAATGACAATATTTTTCTTTCTCTAACTCTTCTTATCAACAATATGATCTTCAATTCGCTTTCGTACAATTTAAAATACCTATAGGTAAGCCTTTTTAAGGGGCTTTAATCATGAAATGAATATCCTCTCAGTAGTGTCAGATTCTTACTGACTACAAAGCTAAACGTGGGTGTGCCACTTTCCTTGTCCTGCTCTAGGCAGAAGCTGCGGTGCCTTACTGCGCTTGCCCCACAACCCTGGTTGCGATATCTATTGCACTTGCACTGCAGGTGCACCCAGCTGAATAATATAATTAGGCTTCACTAGGTATTAATCATACCTGATTTCACTTACTTACGAATCCTGATCATGAATAGAAGTCCAGTTGTGACTTCAAACTTGTTAATCTTGTCTCGGTTTAATCATCTATATCTCACTAGGTATACAAAAATTAATAACTGATTTGCAACTCGCCCATGGAAACTTGAAATACCAGAGGATCACAAATGAGTCGCCGGGTTTTTTTATGTGGAAAGGACAAACTTTCCCTGAAAACGCACAGTTGTTACTGTCTCCTATGTCTAACCATCTTTAAAATGGGGGTGGAAGACTGGAAGTGTTGTCGCGTGGAGTCCACACCGAAAAGACGCGACAAGAATTCAAACGAAATAATTCCTCGGACTCTCTCCCAGTGGTATACTTAAGCGGCAGCAGATACACAACGAAGCTACATCTCTTTGCAGAAAGAATCAAATGTTCAGACGGATTATGGACGGATTAGAGATATTGGGTTTTCATTACATAAAGCAAGAGGCACGCTGAAATGTTATCTCAGGCTCCCTAAGTAATTTGTAATAGAAGCATAACATGAGGTGTCAACAAATTTTGCATTAAAGACATAATATCGCATGTTAAATAGAAAAAAGGACTAACTCAAAAATGAGGATATTCCAAAATTGAACCTTATTATTGAAGCATAATTTTTAAGATTGAAATAGGTACTTAATTTTTTGAGTTAGGCCTCTTTTCTGTTTAACATGCGATATGTAGACATTATTTTTATGTCTTTAGAAAATATAGGATTTTGAAAGTTTTGTTGTAGAAAAAGAAAACCAATAATGAAATAAATAGATTTTGGACACGAAACCGGGTCAAGATCTTAACACATCTTGAAAAAGGAAAATACCTAGTTTATTTTTGTTAAGTATTAATTTATCTTTATATTCTGATGCTTGTTTTTTCTTAGGATTGGATAGGGTGTTTTTTTTGTTTTATGGTTGGTAAGCAAACGACGCTGCCCATGGACGCTAGCAATCCCAGAGGAGTTAATACAAATGCGTTGCCGGCCACTGGGTAAGGATTTAAGGATAGGGGACTTAGGATTTAGGGAAGGATTGGGCCTCTGGTAACTGCACAACGTACCTACGTGTTGCTTCATTATCACTCTGGTTGAGCCGACCCATTCGTGCCGAAGCATGGCTCTCCCGCTGTTAAAAGGGTGTGTAGATTGAGGGATTTAGTAATAGGAGATGAATAATGTTTATGCATTATTTTTAAAGCGTTTTTATTATGATTTCCACATATAAAACGCTTTAAAAATAATGCATAAACATTCTGTGATAACTTTAAAAAAAAAACATATACATATACGGTCGAATTGAGAACCTCCTCCTTTTTTTGGAAGTCAGTTATTAAAATGAAATGACATCGGTTTTTTTTTACTTTCAAGGAAGGAAATACGCTTACTCGAAGAGGGTTTGCGACTTCGAACTTATTTTCTTCACTACAGTATTCTTCAGCGTTTGTCATTATTATCTAAATACATAATATATTACATGAAGTATTTCTCAGAAAAATTCACAATGGTTCTTGCACTTTTTTAGACGCGGGCACCCTACCCTTAGGATATGTTACCTATGATCATGTGTTACAATTTTATTTCGCTTCTATTATATACTACTATTTTAAGAAAACGTATCAAATGTATTATCTAAATAGATTAAGAACAATACGAACGTCGATGCGATGATAATACTTTTTGCTAACGTGGATTCTGAACGTAAGTTTTTTACTGAACGCTTCCATTTAACACGAACCATCTTGTATTGGTAGCACTGTAACTCTAATTTTAAATCAGCGCCATCTATTGTAAAAGGACATTAAACTGTTTTTCATTAACTATTACAAAATAACCCTTATTTTTGTTTTTAATGAATTCCTTTAATATTTAGGTAATCGGAACATTACCAATGAAATAAACACCGTTGTCATAGCTTAATTTTGAATTGTTTTGAGTAGTCGTTAATTTATATTTATTTTATAATGTTGGTACCGCTGTGACCGTGACAAAACTTTCGTTCGTTCGTTGATGTGCAAGATAGGAAATGTGTGTTTTATCGCAAACTTTTAATTCTAAATTGATCAAAACTTAATTGAATTTATTTTTTTGGTGTTTATCTACTAAAATTTTATCATCTTTGACGATATTAATGCTTTTGTGAAACGAAAATCTTGCGTTAAATACTCTAGAAGAAAATGTTTTTGTGTGCTAAGTTTCATAATGGCGGCCCGTCGCGTCCCCCGCGCCTCCATTTCGATGACAGTCAAATTATGACAATGCCGATACGCAAAGTTTAGAAAATGTTGTGTATTTGTAAATAATTTAGTGAAAGTTTATATCAGACTGTAATATACGGACTAAACATGAATCAGGAACACCATAATATGAATACGGGTGGTGGCCAGCCTCCGGGAAGTTCAGAGGTGCGATTCGTTTGATAGTTTTTTGCACTTTTTTTTCTTGTAAGGATACTAATTTTACTTGATTATAGTCACAGGGGCAAAGAGTTCAAGCCACACAGCAACAACAGCAGAATAACTTGCCAGCCACGACATCTGCCACTGATTTACGAGTGAATTCTGCCGCAGTGAATGTCGCTTTGTCTAGTGTCGCGAAATATTGGGTGTTTACAAATTTATTCCCCGGGCCGATACCCCAAGTGTCTGTGTATGGATTGCCTGCCGGTGCAAGGATAGAAAACGGAAAACCTGTACAGGTAGTGAATCTTGTTGTTTTCTTGTTAAAAAATGTGTGATTAAGTTTTTAAAAAAGATCATACAAAAACTTTAGTATCAACCAAAGGTCAGAATGTCATCATGGGAGCATTGCATAAAAACATATTACGATGCTAATTTATACATCTCATTGTTACACTAAGCACATATCTGCCAAATTTAATTTTATGTAAATTGTCTTGTTGACTTAGTTGATTCACTGTTTATTTTAACCTCATGATAGACCTCATAACTGTATGAATTGTTGCAATGTTAGCATGATAACATTTTTGTTATGTAGAACCAAAATCCATGTGGTACAGTCAATTAATAAAGTATCTTCTAATTTCTTGCTTGTTATTGCATCACCTGAGAATCTTATGCAAACAATTTATCTGTAGTTCTTTCTGTTCAATTCGAAACATATTTAACTATTTTGACAGGCTAGTATCAAAGTGAGCTATCATATTATTATTGAAATTTACTATTACATTAATACTGGAATTAGACATTAATTTTAATGTACACAGCTTATTTACATTTACTAAATATGTATCATATTTTTAGATTTTTAGTTACTGTGAATTATTATGTTTTTGTTTGAATAGGTTTAGTAACAAGTTTAACATTATTATGATATTTGTTTAAATTTAAATCTACAATCTCATAAGTAGATTATAAATAAACAATAGGCATGTTAACATTTTGTTATCTACGTAGCACATGACTTCTACAACATAAAATTACATCTATTTTGTCAGACTACACATATTGCTGTAATGTTATTTGCTTTTACCAACAAATGGCTTGTATTTAGTGAACAAAAGTGTGGAGGTTAAAGGACATTATTTTACTTAAAATTGAAGTGTTTTCAGGATCTTGGGCAAGCACATGCCAGTATACTGAATGGTGATCCCAATATTATACTTGGGCATCATGCAGGCCAGTCTCAAGTCACAGTATCAGCTCCAGGTGGCCAACAGATTCCAGTCTCACAAATTATTGCCACACAGTCTGGGCAAACACATGGTAAGTGCTCACTACAAAACACTCGTAAAGATAGGAAGTAAAATTCCATGGCAATTTATGTGACCTTCAATCAATACAAAATGTGTCAATTGTGATAACTTGTGTGCTGTTATCTAAACAGATAATATTTTAATAACAAAACATGCATTGTGTGTTGGTTTCCAACCAAAAATACTTTTACTTTATGTGTATTGAATTTAGTAGTAATAAGAAATGACCACAGAATTTTGTTAACGTGCAGAATATCACATATGCATGGATAGAAAAAGGCCTCTTATTTCTCAACATTTAATGCCTCTTGCAATATAATAGCTTTCTTTTGTTAATATGAGTAGTTATAAACTAATTAGTTAATTGTTTCCAGAAGCTCTTGTGGCTCATAATCAGCAGCAGGCTGAGTTGGCAGCCGCCCAAGCACAGGCTCAAGCGCAAGCATCCAACAGCAATGCGCAGGTGTCAGTTAGTGCAGGGCAGGCCACTCACCAGCAGGTACCCAATAACCGGGTCGAATTTGTTCAACACCATAACATTGATATGGTAAATCACGTGGTAACTCAATCCCTTTACTAGCGGGAATGCTAACAGCATTGTGTAGTACTTAGATCATTCTTACGAAGTAGTTTTCAGTATTCATTATAATGATTTAATGTTTATGTAATTATCTAATTGGCCAAAGAAGAGAACAGTTATGGTGTTCCACTAAATAATTTTGCTAAAAACATCTTAATAATGCATGATAATGGTCAAAGGTCATTAGTTAAGGAGAACTGGATTATAAACACAACTTCTTTATAAGGCTTCTTGGGAAAAAATTACTCATGATTTATTTTTATTTGTGTAGATTGATACCATTATAGAGAGACCTATTCATTAGATGAAGTGCATGTACTTACCCTTTAACCAGTACCATTCATTCTGATATGCATGAAAGTAGTTCAGTTTTATTTTAATCTTTATGGCAATATAATGTAAAAGATTAAAATTCAGTGTCCTAGTTTTTTGATTTATATTGAGTCAGTAATTTTGAATGAAATACTTTTAAGTGTTCCAATGGAGTTGTAAAACTAAGTATTTTTTATTATTATTTAGGGTCATCATTCGCAGCAACACATAATGCAACAGCAATTGATGGCTACAGCGCGACCAGAACACAGTAATCAACAGGTTTGTGCAATTTACCTTCTTATAAGAATAATAAGTATGGCTAACCCCAAATGCGCTTTCTCATATACTATACATATGCACTTGTACTAAATATTGGTAAACTTCACGCTGCTTTATATTATCATCATGCAGCAAGTCAGTGAGGTAAGAGATATACATACAATATGCATAATACTTAACTCATATTTATTATTTTTGCTTTCTTATAATTACTTCATGCAAGCAGTGTAATATGCTATTTTTTTGAGCTTGTGTATCTAAAGTAGGTGCTTGATAAAAATTGAGTGTTTGAATACCTTAGTGTAGATATAGACTGTACAGTTGGGGCATTGGCTTGGTAACTGACTACTGGCCAACATGTCACAATTTTTCTGGGTCTCAAAGTAATTTGCATAATTTGTTAAACAACTAATAACGCCATTGCACCTGCTTTTTATACTTACAATTATAATTTCATAAGTAAAAGACCATAATAAATATTATGTAGTGATAAATTCCTTTTGCATCTCTCCCTGTGTGTATGAATGCGATAATTTCTTAAACTGTTTCATTTTTTTTAGTACTTTTTTAAGAAATAGGTAGTATTTGAAGGAACAAAGCAAAGATTCCAAGATTTGAAAAAAAGGGTCCTCTTACTAAATTAAATTATAATGACTGGTGGCCTACTGTTACAGTTATGCATTGAGTTTTTCTACACACATTTACCTTTGAAATAACTAACTTGGGTGACATAGAATTTATGAACATATACCATCTGTGATTTTAACCATCTATTTTATATATACATTGCCCCAGTGTAATTCCTTAGGAATTTCTGAAAATGCACGCGAGAAACCAGTAACTACATTATGAAAAAAATGTATTTATTTTTATTTATTCCCAGATAATTTACTGCCTGTTATACATAGTTTAAAGTTTTAAATATTTGTGTGTGACATTAATATTCTTCTATAGATCATGTGACTTATTATTTATATAATTTATATTAGATTCAACTGACGGTGAGCGAGGATGGCATAGTAACTGTGGTGGAGCCGGCAGGCACGAAAATGGTTGACAAGGAAGAACTACACGAAGCCATCAAGATGCCTAATGACCATACACTTACTGTACATCAATTACAACAAATAGTGGGACAACAGGTACATTTAATATTATTTTATTATCAGTTTTATAAGGCATTCTGAATTTATCATGTTTCTATTGCCCCAATATCTAAACAAATAGATAATACTTTGAGACAGTCAATTTACTGGAATTTGATTTAGAAGTGAAAAGTGAAGAATATTATTGATTGAATAAGCCTTTTTTTTAATTTGCTTTATTGTTACTTGTTTCCTACAGGTAATAGACAGTGTAGTACGCATAGAACAAACAACCGGTGAGCCAGCAAACATTCTTGTCACTCACAATCCTGATGGCACGACTTCAATAGAAGCCAGCGCTGCAGACCCACTCATTGTCAAAGACGAGAAGAGTGGCAACAAAATAGATCCAACGCAATTCGCTATTCCTACTGACATAAAAGACATAAAGGGAATAGATTTAAAGGTAAGAATAATACAGACTGTATAAACAGTAGACAATATACACATTGAGATCCCAATAGTACTACAGTGGGACTGCGTGGCTTTTCGTTATTTTAAAATTACTTCCGGGACAAAACCGAAGAAGTGGTCTCTTGTATTCAATTCTTGTATTACTAAATTAATTAATTACACAGTTACAAACGCCGCAATTCCGTTCTAGTGCGGCTGCGATCCAATTTGTGTTTTTTTATTATAAACCCATATATTTGTTACAAGTCATTACACATACATAGTACTGATATATGACAAATTATAATATTTGTTATATTGCTTTTTTGCACCGATGTATTCGAGGGTGCTCAGAATATTTACATGAAGTTCCTACATGAAGCATCAGATATATTGGACTAGCTCCCTTAACAATAGCTTGCTGCACAGGTAGGGGCCACCTTATCTATATAATTATCCTTTCTAATTGTTACATTTTTATTTCAACAGAATGTAGGAACAATGGGTATGGAGGGGGCAGTTGTGAAGATCTCCGCCGGCGCAGCGGAACACGACCTGCATGCCATGTACAAAGTAAATGTAGAGGATCTTTCGCAGCTACTCGCCTACCATGAAGTGTTTGGCAAACTTAATTCAGAAGGGCAACAGCAACAAGCAAAGGTACAGTTGAACATATGACACATTTATATATTTAAACATGATTTCAATGATCAATAATGTTATTTGTTATTGCCTGCACATTGTTTCAGTTTATGTGACATATTTATGGAATGATTGTATTGTAAAAGCCACAAGATATTACTTCCATTTCATTTCTTGTATATGTGTACGCTTTATATGTGTGTACCTTACTTACGTTTCTAAAATGATTGTCGATAACCGCAAAATTACACACATATGTTGCATAACAAATGAACATAAATAATTATATTATTTACTATTGATGATTGATGATCAGACATTCGGGAGCTACAACAATATTTTTTACAAGGTTATGAAGCGACCAGACTTGCTCCTGATGGATCTCTGATGCTCTGCAACACCACAAAAGAAGAAGTGCATTGCCAACCTTTAAAAAAATCGATCTTTCGCCTTATGTATTCTGAGCTTTGTTGACGCCGAAATCTTAATAATTTTATTGAATGATCATTATTTTAGGTGATCAGTGAGGTTGAAGTGGAAGTGGAGGCAGGCACCAGCGCTGCTATGTCGGAAGCAGAATCCTCACCGGGCCATCACTCATGTGATATCTGTGGGAAAATATTCCAGTTCCGATACCAACTTATTGTTCATAGGTATTCTATTCAAAAATAATTTATTTTATAAAGATATAAAGTATTTAGTGTTCTAATATTTTTATTATGTGTACGCAGGCGTTATCACGGCGAAAGTAAGCCATTCACGTGTCAAGTTTGTGGTTCAGCATTTGCAAATCCAGTTGAATTATCGAGACATGGAAAATGCCATCTTGGTGAGCATACATTTTCATTCATCACTTTAGTACCATTTTATACTGTATTATGTAATTAGATTACCAAAATGATAAAATTTATTTCATGCAGCTGGAGATCCAAACGAAAGACACGCCAAAAGGATGGCGCAGGATAAACCCTACGCTTGCACCACTTGCCACAAAACATTTTCTCGGAAAGAACATTTAGATAATCACGTGCGAAGTCATACTGGAGAAACTCCTTACAGGTATATATGTGTCACAGACAAGCAAACCCATCTTAATGACTTTTGAAGCTATCTCGCTAACAATAGTCACATGGTTGTGATAATTGTCGCTTATGTTGATGCCTTGGCTTATTTTCATACGTTTGAAGCCATTTTTATTACAAATGAATGCTTAATACAACCTACCAATCGTACACAGGTGTGAATTCTGCGCGAAAACTTTCACCCGTAAAGAGCATATGGTCAACCACGTTCGAAAACATACGGGCGAAACTCCGCATCGATGTGATATTTGCAAGAAGAGTTTCACCAGAAAAGAGCACTTTATGAACCATGTTATGTGGCATACAGGTATGGAAAACTTTTAAAAAATTAATGTCAGTAAACAGTTATATTGATTTGCAAACTGATAAGAAAAGTCGGCTGTGTTCTATTGACATAAAAGGGGCTGATAACAGTTCAGTACCGTACCGAGTTTTAATGTACCGTCTGTTATAACGTTTAATGGGCATCTTTCAAAAATGTTTTAACAGATTTTATCACAAACTGGAAAGTGAAAAATTTAAAAAACTATTAATAGATTATTTAATATGAAAGTGAAATGCAAATCAAATAAAATATTAATCTCAGATCTGTTTTTAGTTAAAAGGGAAACAAATATTAAAGTGTTTCTGGGAGTTCATTTGTTTCTCTTTAAATGTCAAACATAATTGATAACGCTGGTTCGTCATTAATTATTTATTTTCGTGATTATGAAATTATTTCGGAATTTTTAGTTTGTAACAATTTCTTTTCTTTGTACGGAATATCCAAGCCTGCACCAGTACCATGGGCGATCCAGGGGTGCAGAAAGTAGAAAAATGATTGAATGATTCAACTATCTATCCAAAACTTGATGTTTCTGTGTAACTAATTGAATGTTGACTAATATGATCTCCCTTAAATTCCCTTGTAATGTAAGCTTGTTACTAACATTAATATGGGGAGACAATAATTATTTCAAATTAAAAAGACAAACTAAATGTTTCGAGCAATATAGTTGCATCATTGAATGTTAACATTTTATTTTCTGCTCCACCCACATAGGTGAAACGCCGCACCATTGTACAATATGCGGCAAGAAGTATACTAGGAAGGAGCATTTAACGAACCATATGCGATCTCACACGAACGATACTCCGTTCCGATGCGAATTGTGCGGCAAGTCGTTCACGAGAAAGGAACACTTCACCAATCACATATTGTGGCATACGGGTTAGTATAGTTTCCATTCACAGTCAGTGATACAGGTCCAAGATGTCGTCTGACACTCGAATGTCACCTGTGTTACTGATCTGTGCTACCCTGTGGACTGCACCTGGTGTCAGGCTTGGCATTTTCCGATGTCTATTTGACTTTAATATTCTAATCCGTTATTTGTGTGTGGCTATGACTTTTCTGGATTAATAAAGCACGCGTATATTAATATAATTTGTTGGATGCGATCACAATCAAACAGTAAATGGTTGTTACCTTAATATCTTTCGCTAAACATTTCACACGCAACCCTATTTAATATAAAGTTTGCTTTCACTCGTCGTACCAGTCTTGCATCGTGAGAAACATGGAACTTAATTTAACAACTTGTGCACGTAATAATATTATATATAACTAACTGTTACAGGAGAGACGCCACACCGCTGCGACTTCTGTTCCAAGACATTTACTCGTAAAGAGCACCTGTTGAATCATGTCCGCCAACACACAGGCGAGTCGCCTCACCGTTGCAACTTCTGTAGCAAATCCTTCACTCGCCGAGAACATCTAGTAAACCACGTACGGCAACACACCGGAGAAACGCCCTTCCAGTGCGGATACTGCCCTAAAGCATTCACAAGGAAGGATCACCTGGGTAATAGGTTTTGTTTGTTACAACCCTTTATGAACTATTGAAATAGGTACAGTTTTAAACTCCATTATGTTTCTTTATCGCTAAAATGTCTAAATATTATGTTTTAGTGAACCATGTACGTCAGCACACTGGTGAATCCCCACACAAGTGCTCATTCTGCACGAAGTCGTTCACCCGTAAGGAGCACTTGACGAACCATGTGAGGCAGCATACGGGCGAGTCCCCACACCGCTGCTCTTACTGTGCCAAGTCATTCACGAGAAAGGAGCATCTTACCAACCACGTCAGGTATGTTTCAATACGTTAATTGAATGTTGATGTTGTACTTTGTGACTAGAATAACGACATTCATTCAACCACATTGTTCATTATATGGTTCAATGAATTTCGTAAAATCAATTCGTAGTTCTAGTCATCTTTGTTGTGATGAAGTATAGCTTTTTGTTGTATTCTTCGATTATATTACTCTAGATGCAAAGTACTTTGATGTTTTAAATTATTCTTCTATGCCAATTTCTGTGAGTTTGTTTCCTCCAAATATTATTTTGTAGTTTTGACATACAATGCTGTGCTACAATCTACTGCCAATATTGTCACAGTTCGCAGTACTATAGCCCGTCTGTTGTAGAGTAATTAAACCCCTCCACCTGCCTTAGACGCATGTCTCTATTACTTAGTCGCATGAATATAGTATAAATCTTCTTTCTTTATTATTGTTATGATACTATAATTGATAATTTAGAGAAGTAAGGTTGTTTCAATTATTTTAAACGATTATGGTATTATTTTTATCTTGATAAGAGTTAAATTTAAATATACTTAACATTATTTGGAAGCTAAAAAACTGAACACTAATTCGTCTATTAAATAATTTTTACGAGGTCAGGTTGTTTTAAGTTTAGTTACTCAGAATTTACAAGTGTTGTTAGACACCTTTCATAGTGGAAATGGTTTGGAGATACCCACTTCATTTTTTCGAGACCTAAATAAAGATCTTTCTTTTCTGATAAGAGATGTAAGGGGCCAAATAATACAAAAGATTACCTCAACCATTTCTGAAATTACATAATTACATCTGACGATACGGTTCGTATATGCCTATTCCCCTTGCGTTTATACTGTCGCAAAGGCAATTTTCCAACAGTATAATGTACTCTATAAACAATATTATTATTAATACTAGTTTTTTTATATTACATATTTTCTCCGCACTTTCATGCGGTTTTCTCTTGGATATTACAAGTCTTCCTAACAATAGTTGCAAAATGCACTTGCATCAAGTTCCCCTTATTTACACTATTTGGACACTAGATGTATCTCAGACGGCATTTGTGTGAGGTTTCCCTTACATTACGTAGCACAGCATTGTGCATTCCGATTTAGGAAAATTATTCTAAAACATCCCTTCCGTCCTTACCGTAGCAACAACGGTAGCACTAATTGGCATGTTACTAATTTCTTTTTTTTTGGAATCGGAATGTACTCTGTTGCGCAGACAGCACACGGGAGAAACGCCACACAAGTGTACGTACTGCCCGCGGGCCTTCGCGCGCAAGGAACATCTCAACAACCACATTAGGCAGCACACCGGAGTCACGCCGCACGCCTGCTCCTACTGCAGCAAGAGCTTCACCAGGAAAGAACATCTCGTTAACCATATTCGGTATGTTAACAAACAACATTGTTCCCTTGTCGTATTTCTACTATTCTTAGGACAGCAGATCTCAGCTGATTGAAGACTCGAAGTACGTGTTCATCCAGTATATTAAACGTAAACGTATTTTATGTTTATGTTGTTTAGATGTTTTGATAATTTTGCTATTTTATACAATGCGCTGTATCTTGGTGTATCAGTAGAGCTCTTAACGCTTGAACGAAGTCTGCCTGCATAGACCTTACACATTTCTTGGGATTCTTAAATATCAAGGCTGGCAATATAACTAAAGTCCACGCCATATCAATTCCCTTTGAGAGAGAACTTTGTAAAAAAATGTAATATTAACTCAAATACATCATTCTCCACAAAACATAAAAAAAGAAGTACATTTAACTTTCGGGAAGCTAACACGCACGTTGTTTGCAGGCAACACACGGGCGAGACTCCGTTCAAGTGTACGTACTGTTCAAAGTCGTTCTCTCGTAAGGAGCATCTCACGAACCACGTGAACCTTCACACGGGAGAGACGCCGCACAAATGTCCATTCTGCACAAAAACATATTCCAGGAAAGAACACCTGACCAACCATGTGAGGTATGTCATTCTAATTGACCTTTTCAGACTTTTGAATGTCTTTCTATGAAGAACTAGGCACATTGGTGATTTTACTGCTGCCGTGACTAAATTGACAAATAGATCAGCACACTGTTATATGTAGAAACCCTTAGCTGCTTATTTTTATTTGCACAGCATTGAATGATGATGTTTGTTTTAAATGTTGTGAAAGTATTGTAGCAGGTATTATATAAATAATGTCATGAACTTTTTATCCAACATTTTCAATTCTGATTATTAGAATTCACACTGGTGAGTCTCCGCATCGCTGCGACTTTTGCCAAAAGACGTTTACACGCAAAGAGCACCTGACTAATCACTTGAAACAACACACTGGTGACTCTTCCCACGCCTGCAAGGTCTGCTCCAAGCAGTTTACTAGAAAAGAACAACTCGTCACACACATGAGGTAAGTAAATGTATAATATAAATTTTTAGTATTCATCTTCATGCAAGCAATCTTGTTATTATTAATATGTAGTTATATCCAATTATTGAGGGTTTCTGAGTACAGTTAAACTCAAAAAAGAGCTCTATTTAGAAAAACTCTTAATTAAATCAAGTTTTGTTGTGTCTTCTAAGAGTGATTTCCTTCTGTTTAGGTCTCACAGCTGTGGTGAACGTCCTTTTAGCTGCGGCGAATGCGGCAAGTCTTTTCCATTGAAAGGCAACTTATTATTCCATGAACGGTCACATAACAAGAATAATGCAAATGCTGCTAACAAACAGTACCGATGTGAAATCTGTTCTAAAGTTTTCCTCTGTAAAGGTATATAATTTATTCAATATACTAATATTATCAATTATTTATATTATTCAGCCATACTGGACTAACCTATGTACGTAATACAATTACAGGTCACTTAGTATCTCATCGGCGAACACATCCGGAGTGGGTTGAGGGGTCAAACCCCGCGGAAACATCCACTGAAACTGAAGACTGTAACAAAGGCAACACATGTATCAAAGTGGAACCAGAAAGAACTGAAAGAAAACATGAAGTCAGGTTAGTGTTTCACTACATATTATTTACTAGGTAAACATATCTACAATTATCAAATAAAGCATAATTAACATTAAACAATACATCTTTATTATTACAGAGCTACAGTTGAAGCGAGACCAGCAGAAACTAATGTTCCACAAACTCAGCCAAATACGCCTACTGTCATGATCACAAATAATCAAGTAAGCAATTTAAACTTTAGGATTTATGTTTTTTTTGTGAGGGGAAAAATCATCAAATGACTTCTCCCTCCCAGGGCCGACGGGAGGGAGTGTCAGACTCTTACTGACTAAAAACCCCTCTGTTCCTTCTGCTCTGGGCCGAGGTCGCGGTGCCTCATTGCGCTTACCCCGCAACCCCGGCTGAGCATTTATTATGTTGAGTTCAATTAATTTTGTACTAATATATAATGTGTATTGCAGCAAGTACGCGCGCCGAGCGTAGGCGCCGTGAGCGCGGTGGGCGCGGGAAGCACGTCGGGCGGGGCAGTGGCAGGCACGTACACGCATGCGGTGGCCGCCACGCACCACGCCGGGGCCGCGCTCTCGCACCACCCCGTCACCGTCAACTACTAGCATACGGCCCTCTCTCTGCCCACGCTCGAGGAAGCCACGCAGCAATGTCTCTGACAGAGTTAACGACGCCACCCAGCCACCGTTAGCGAGAGATATACAGGACAGTGAGAGCCTAAAGACAATGAACTAACAGTGGTAACTGAATTTTGAAAGTTGTTGACGACTTTATGCTAAATCCGTATTAAGTTTGTTTCTTTTTCTCCATTTTTGTAGATATTCTGGTGCATAATCATTAATTTTACAATAAAATAAGGGTTTAAATTTGATTATATGTATTTGAAGTCAGTCAATCACATATATCAAGGAAATAGTTATATATAAACTATGAATGTAATTATAATTATATTTTGTACATAATATTAAACTAGAGCCATCTAAAGATAATGTTTTGTTATTGATAGTTCACAGTTATAATTAAATTATGTATGTATACAGCCATTATAAAGATTTCGAAGTATTTTAAATCCCACTTGTTATTTAAATCAAGCGCAGTTAATCATAGAAATGTTTTATTTTCTACTTCCATAGTTTTAGCCATTCTATTTTTCAAACACTTATATCATACTTCCGTAACATATTACATCTTAATTTTAATCTGTTAGTTTTTAGTGGTTACCATATTAACATTTTGTTTTTTATATTTCTGAGCTATTTGTGGTTAATAACTTTAATTGTTTTTTTATTATTATTTTATAATTAACCATGAAAAATCGAAAAAATCACATTCCGTTTTGATTGAATATTAGAAAATACAGACATGGAAAAGAATTAAGTACTATAGTACTTGTTCAGAATACGTATCCAATATTTTTATCGTAATCCCTAATTTTCCAACGGAATTTTAATGCAATCTCATTTTATGAAGAAATATTTTTTATAAATTATTGTAAAATGAGTTTCTCGAATTACGAAACAGGGACCAGAGATCAAAGCGAGAGTGTAAAGTAGAATAAATGCTAACCCTCTTGCAACTCCCAAGAATATACAAAGATAAAAATTACATTTAATTTTGGTTGTATATACCAATAGCTAATTTTGAGTGTGCGATAATTTCCAATGAATATCGCCAATGTAAATTGTGTCCAGCTTAGTATAATTAATATTCTTTGCCATGTACAGTACAAGTGTGATAAATCTGTTATAACTTACTTTATAACGATATGTATAGAGGTAATTGTATGTAAGTGGTGATTGTATCGCTTAGCTTAACTACGCGCACGAGAAGTGGTGTTATAATCACTTCCGTGATTATTGTAAACACGCCGCTTGTAATAAAATATTATAAAATAGTCTGTATCTACATGTACATAATTAGTTTTAAACATATAGTTGTATCAAATCTGTAGCAAAATTAAGACTAATAAAATATCATTTATGTTAGTATTTGGCTGGATTGATAAATCTGTATGGCAAGCTGAAAAACGATTCAGAATCGTGTTATATAGAAAGATTTTCTTTATAAGGAGCGATGAATCATTGAGATAGGAAATTATGTAACAGCCAAAGGGTAACTTATCTTCAATGGTGCCACGCTAATTTATATTTTATAGGAAAATTAATTCCTTAGACACAATAGTATGTACTAAAATCTAAATTATGTTCAGTAATTTGATATGAATGAGATTAAAAAATGAAACTAAACTTGTATTTTATTTTACTAGCGTATCGCAGCGATAACTAAATGTCATCCCGTTGTTCATAATATTTCTTCAGAAACAAAAATTATACTGAATTTTGAAAACCGATGTAGATTTTATATTAGGTGTTATTAAAATATCTTTCACGGCTCTGAGGTAGTATTGTTTATAGATCCGCAAAGGGCGATGGCTATTACGGTCAAAAGGGGCTATCGCACGATATCCTACAAGGCGGCATGCGTATTGGCTGGGCGGGGCCCTGGGATAGGCATAGGTACTTGCGTTGCTTAATCAGTTGCGTGAGCAAAAGAGTACGGGGTGTCTGACTGATGCAACGGCAAATTGAACAGTGGAGTACCAATTTCAAAAATAGGAGACGAACTGTCGCTGCCTACTGTTGTTAAAAAAATGGTCGGCAGTGCGGAGTCATGGAATGCAGTGTTGTCCTTCTGTGAAGGTCGGTGCTGTTGCAAAAAGAGGCTGCGGAAAGGGAAATCACAAATCCTCTTCCCAACCGACTCGTTCGACCCCTAGATGGGTACGGGCCAGGCCGGGATGGGCCGTCACGAGTAGGCTGCGGATGAATTTGATTCCCGCACGCCCACGTGAGAGATGGGACACCAAGTTGGCTTTTAGTCAGTAAAATTCTGACAATCCCCTTCGTCTCCCCAGGCGCAGGGGCTCTATGTATGAGGATTTTCCATCTTGCAAAGCAAATTAACATTAGCTTTATTCTGCATAACGTGGTTTACGCCCTATAAGTCGCTAATGGAAACAACTGCTTGGTACACGAAGTCTTTGTTCTTTCTCCGTGGCTTGGTATCTCTATCTGGGAAACATATCAGCTGACTAGCTTCGTCACTACGAGATGGGCAGAATATGGAGGCCTGCCTGCGCCAACAGGAGGCAGGTCAAATCTCTACTGGTATAATATGCGCAGTTATCAAAGAGTAAAGTACCTAATATAATAGCAGTTATGGAGTTAAACTCTAGGTAGGTACCACAATACTATCTCGCGATATTCTGGATTGGAATGCCGTCGTCTAGGAGGCATTTTCATAATATAGTAGTATAAAGCAAGGGGTAGTAGGGGCTGAGCAACAGTGTATGTACTAACATTTACTTTTCACTAGATGTTGCTATTTGGGTGTGCCTATTAGGCTCATACAGCTGAATTACTTATGCTGGGCCATTTTAAAATCGGGAAATTACGCACTTTGGTAAAGCCCCAATATTTCATAGTAAAGACAATGTCAAATATCCCTGCTGAGAAAATAATATTAAATATTATTAGGTCAAATAATTAAAATATTGAAAAAATATTTTCTCACTGGCAATAAGGTGAGATGATGTATTTGGAAACCACTAAGTTTTTGGATATTTTTTTTGTAGGTACTTGAGTTTTTGCAATAAACATGGCTTAATATTATTACTTTGGCCCTAAAACCATTGTCTATCGTGAGTGTTATGGACCCAGTCTCACCCTCAGGTTTCATGTGAAAATATTATCATCATCATCAATAACATCAGTAGCCTATAGGTGTTCTTAGTAGTGGGCGTCTTCTGACGTGGAGAAAGTTAAAAGGCTCAAGGCCGGTTGGCGATTTCAAACTTGTAATTAGAAATTATAGGTCCAGGTTTCCTCGCGATGTTTTTATATATTGTTTGTCAGTAGTGTCATTAATCTTAGAAAGTACATACAACTCGTAAAAGGTAAGTGAAAATCTCGACATTGATGTATTGTGAGATATTTTAAGCTAGTTAACCCCTATTGTATTACAATATTCAAGAAAAAAAAAAAAAAAAAAAACATTAGTAAACTGATTGATTAAAAATATATTTCACTTTAAGCATATATACATCTTGCAAAAATATTAAATTAGGCTTAGGCTGCTATTTTTACAGGAGTCTTTTTGACTTTTTGAGGTTTTTCTTGTTCCCTTTCTTTTGGGATCTCTGGCAAGTCCTCTGTGGGTACATCTGGTAGTTGGTCACCCACATCAAGAATGGCTTCCAGTTCTGCTTCAACAGCATCTTCATCTTCTTCAGTAAGCTGGCCAGAGATCAATTCATCTATTTCTCTCTGTTTCTCTATACCTTCCCTGGTTTCATCCAGAATCTTTTCTATTTCATCAATATTAAGGATATCATTGACCTTCTTTAGAGCCTCATTACCTGTCCGCAAACCATCTATCACCTGAAACAAACCAAACAAAATATTTAATTTCTTACTTTGTAACATTGTAAGACTTTTAAGGATCGATGCAACCAACACCTATTTGTTTTTTAAATACAAATGTATATCTTTATAGGATCTAAGATATAGATAAGTTGGACAAAAATCAATGTAGATAGCTTGCATTTTCAGAAAAAAAATATAAATATTACCGAGCTAAGCTCGTCCCGCCACTTAATCATAAAACCCTACAGTGTTTAATCATAGAAAACCCAGTAAATGAAAAAATAGAATCACTGCGACATTAAGCTCCATTTTTATGATATTTTCTTGTATGACAAAACAAGAAAATATAATAAAAATGTAGTTTGTATTTGATACCATGTTCTTAGCAAAAATTTCGATCATCAATATTGAGTAAGTATCATTATAAATATGAATAAATTCTGTGGAAATGATGATAGTTGTAGTATCTAATGATGTATAAATACAATAGCAATAAATTACAAAGACGTACCTGTATTTCGATCTGCGCAAACTCTAAATCATGCGTAAGCTGTTCTAATTTATCTAATTGATTATCAGTGTTTTGTAAAAGTTTTTCTTGGTATTTTTTCTTTTTGAGTAACAGTTTTGCTCTATCACGTTTTCCTTCGTCTAAAAGTTTCTTTGCTAACTGCCGATCTCTTTCGAGATTAAGTTCTATTTTCTTCTGGTATTGTTTTAACTTATCTCTCTGTTGTTTTAACTGAAGAACAGCCTTATCTTGTTCAGTCACTCTGCTTACAGGTTTTTTATGTTTGCCGAATAGGGAACCCATTTTTTATCTTAAATACTACACATATATATAAAAGAATGTGTTGCGTTATTCACATAAAATCATTTAAGTATCTTATATCTTTCTTTTGTTGATTAAATTTATTTTTGCACAACACACCCCAGTTGGTTGACACTGACACTGACAAATTCAAAGGAATGTCATGTGATGGATTTTTTTTTTTTGGAGTTTATGGCCTGGATACGATGTCATGTGATGTGATGGAGACCATAAAGGTAGACGTACCTAACTATCATGAAAGAATTAAAAAACTATTGTCTTACTTTTTGTCAGGGGGGATCATCTAATGACTTCTCCCGCCCAAGGTAAGGCGAGAGAGAGTGTCAGACTCTTACTAACTAAAAACACCCCGTCCTTCTCCTGCTCTTGGCCGAGGTCGCAGTGCCTCATTGTGCTAACCCCGCAACCGTGGTCTAAGCTTATTTTAGAAACTTACTTCTTACTATCTAGGTACGGTATCAAGAGAGTATTTTAAGTAAAGTAGAAGTAAAAAAAGTAATACCCTGTAGCTATTCGTATAAATATAACAATATCATGGGTCGCATGTGCCGCTGCCAACCAGCTGTAAAGAAACATGTGTTTAGCAGTGGACAGTGAACGTCATGAGATTGATATAATAATGATGATAAAGTCATTGTCATGTGCATATGTATTGTTATCCCAACCCTCAATCCTCGATCTTCAAATTTCCCATTCATAAAAAGCCTGCAATGATGCTGAATATGTTGTAAGGAGTGTAGATGGCGTGATTTACATCAGATAATCCTACCGCTCGTTTGCCGCCCTATGCCACCAAAATATATGTGGGAGAGTCTTGCTTTCGCAGGTGGGCTCGACCGGACTCGATTATGGATTCATGGAATAGCTGCATAATTACACTTTATGATTCGCCGTGTAATTGAACTTACCGGAGGCCCAATCCTTCCTCAACAAAACCTCTACCTCCAAATTCCATATCCCTAAAACTCACAAAAAGCCGGCAACGCATTTTTACTTATTTGTGTTTCGTGATCCGGCCTTTAGGGATAAAGGTTTCGGATATTATTAAGGATTGGGAGAGGATGGGGGAGAGGGACGAATTGGGCCTCCGGTAACCTCACTCACATGGCGAAACACAACGCTGTAGTTGTTTCACGCCGGTTTGTGCCGAAGCTTGGCTCGCCCACACTTAAAAAGTCTTCTATAAACAGGCTGGACAAAATCTCCAAAACCGTGTTACATACTAAACCATTAGCGAAATATTAACGTCCACAGATTATTTCATTCATTTTTGGCTTCGTACGCCGAGTAAATAAGAGGCGGACTTGTAAATAAAATATGTATTTAATATTGAATAATTGTAATATCTTGACCTCACACCGCTTACACATGTAACCGCCTAAAAAGTGGCGCCAAAATTCTTGTGACAAAATTAAAACCATAGATAGTCAAAGGCGACCATAAACAACATCTAGTATTCTATATTAACAATAACAATACTAATAGTGGGTCCCAGGGAGGGACGCCACACCACCCACCCACGCAGAAGGGTAAGGTATACACAGAAACAAAACTATTAAAATATGTCATTATACACATAAAAAAGGTACCTAACGAACATCAATAACAAAAATTACAAAATTATTACTTACTCCTCACATACAAGGGAAAAGGTACATAACAGAACTATTATGAATATAAATATGTAACTATGTAACTACATTAAATACAAAAATATAGCGAACAAAAAAGGTACAATAATAAGTTATCGGGGATATTAAGATTAGGTACATGTTATAAATTGAAAATACAATTTTTTATTAGTAGCCAAAAGGGCTTACAGTACAAAATGGTACTAAGCGAAACAGAGACTCCTTGTAATAAACAATTTGATGACTCTAAATAGGAGTTACATGGAATTAGAATTAAGACATGAGTTATAAAATTGTTTACAATTGCTTATACATATTAATAAATATTTTGATTGATTTCAGTAGAAGTAGCTAAACTTTGACATAAGCTGTTTTATTAAGAAAAATAAAATACAAATGAAATAAGAACACCAATCTTACATCACAAATCTAGGATGTCTCTAAATTTAACCCGTCTACCAGCTCTGGTAGTGACAGGGGCTGGGAGTGATGCTTGGTCTGGAGGAGATGATGCCTGTGTTGGTGGTAGTATAGATTGATGTGTACCCGAGGTCGGTGATGCGATGGGTGCTGGTATAGGTGGTGATGGGGGTTGGTGAGATGGAAAATGGTGTTTATTAGTTGACACTCCAGTATCTGGAATTAAGTATGCTGGCTTAATGCGGTCAATGCTAACCGTGGTCTCCCTGCCATTCACATCCAAGGTAAGGGTTTTATCCCTTCTCCCTAGGATGCGGTGTGGTCCAGTATAGGGAGGTTGCAGCGGTCGTCGAACAGTGTCATCACGAAGCATGACATGAGTCGCCGAAGCCAAATCCTTGAAAATAAAAGATGATGGACGCGCATGCCGGGAAGCTGGTATTGGACGAAGGGCCTCCATGCGGCTTCTAAGTTCCGTGACGAAATCCGATGTGTCACTGAGACTTCTGGGATCCCCTGATGGCATGATTAGTTCTCCGGGTAAACGGAGCGGCTCTCCATAGACAAGCTCAGCGGACGAGGTGTTTAAGTCCTCTTTGAGCGCTGTCCTCATGCCCAGGAGTACTATGGGAAGTGACTTAGACCAGGAGTGGGAGTGGCACATTAAAGCAGCTTTGAGTTGGCGGTGCATGCGTTCTACCATGCCATTAGCACAAGGGTGGTAACTGGTTGTTCGAACCCGTTTTGTTGCGCACACGTTCATGAGGCGCTGAAACAAAACGGATTCGAATTGACGTCCCTGATCGGTCGTTATAGTGCTTGGTACTCCAAAACGGGATATCCAGCCAGTTACTAACGTGTCAGCCACGTCTTCCGCCGTGATAGAGGACATAGGCCATGCCTCGGGCCACCTTGTGTACCTGTCGACTGCGGTGAGACAGTACGTGAAGTTATCGGAGTGTGGAAGAGGACCAATTATGTCTATGTGGATATGGCGAAATCTGTGGGATGGGTTAGTAAAGGATGAAAGCGGTGATGAAATATGTCTGCTGATCTTGCTACGTTGGCATTGCAAACAGGATTGGGCCCATAAACGGCAGTCTTTTTTAATATTAGGCCATATGAAACGGTCAGACAACAAACGAACTGTTGCTCGTACTCCAGGATGGCTTAGTCCGTGAAGTTTGTTGTAAGCTGCTCGACGGAAAGGTGGAGTAAGATACGGGCGAGGTTTACCTGTTGAAATGTCGCAGAAAATGTGAGTATTGGTCCCGGGAATGTTGACCTTCGCCATTTTTAGGGAAGACGAAGAAGAAGACGTGAGCTCTTTCAGCTCATCGTCTTGTTCTTGGGATTTTGCCAGGGCTTCATAATCGGGCTCTAAGGATATTGAATCAATGCGAGACATAGCGTCCGCAACTATATTGTCAGTGCCCTTGACATATTGAACGTCAGTAGTGAACTGACTTATGAACGTAAGTTGGTTGAGTTGGATGGGTGGTAATTTTTCACGGCGCTGTGCGAACGCATAAACAAGTGGCTTATGGTCGGTGTAAATCGTGGCATGTTGAACCTCTAATATGTGTCGAAAATGTTGAACGCTTTCGTACACAGCCAGGAGTTCTCGGTAGTATGCCGGCCACCCCGCCTGCTTCGTCGTGAGTTTCTTGCTGAAATAAGCAAGAGGTTGCCAAGCATCACCAACTTTCTGTTGCAGACATGCGCCAATGTGCACACTTGATGCATCAGTGAACAAACCCAAGTGAGCCTCGGATGCTGGATGAAATAAAAGCGTGGCATCAGACAGACTTTTCTTGCAACTCTCAAAGCATAGACGAAGTTCAGGTGTCCAGGGGAAGGGTTTGGCGCCTTTGCTATTTGTCGCGGCCACTGCATCAATAAGGGGTGCTTGGTACTTGGCGGCGCTGGGCAAGAATCTACGATAGTAGTTTATCATGCCTAGGAATCTACGCACACCTTGTACTGTCTCGGGCAAAGGGAAATCACTCAAAGCGCGGATGCGGTCTTCGGGAGGATACGTGCCCGTAGCATTAATGCGGTACCCTAAAAAGGACACCTCATTTGCCCCAAAAACGCATTTTGCGGGGTTAATGACTACTCCGTACTCCTGCAGGCGGCTGAGTAAGAGCCTGAGATGTTCTGTGTGCTCCTTGGCGTCCTTGGAATACACGAGGATGTCATCGACGTATGCAAAACAGAAATCTAAACCTCGCACCACTTCGTCTATGAAACGCTGAAAGGTTTGACCAGCGTTACGGAGGCCGAAGGTCATGTAGGGGAACTCATATAATCCGAAGGGTGTTATAATGGCTGTTTTGCAAATATCTGCTGGATTGACGGGGATTTGTTGGTAAGCTTTTACAAGATCTAAAGTACTAAATATTGCGCAGCCGGAGAGGTTATGGCTAAAATCCCCTACGTGACGGACAGGATAGCGGTCTGGAATGGTGCGGGCGTTCAGAGCCCTGTAGTCACCACAGGGGCGGTAGGTCTCGTCCTTTTTCAGCGCCAGGTCTAAGGGAGAAGACCAAGGGCTGCTGGAAGGCCTGGCCGTACCTACTCGTACCATTTCTTCAAATTCTTTTTGGGCAGCCCGTAATTTCTGAGGAGCTAGACGACGAGGTCGTGCTGAAATCGGTGGTCCATCGGTGGTTTTAATGTAATGCACTGTGGTGTGCTTAGGATCCTTGGGAGGCCCAGAAGGTCTTGAGACACTAGGGAATTCAGCTAATATGTGCGCGAAGGGAGAGGCAGGTGAGTGGATCAGTTTAATACTGGGTTGGCTGAAGGAAACGATATCAGTGTCAGTGCATAGGCCGGTTATGTCGTCTCGCAATTTTGCCCGGGCGCAATCTGGTAATAAATTATAGTGGGCCAGAAAATCTGAGCCGATAATGGGGGTGCCTACTTCGGCCACAACAAATTTCCAATCGAAATCGCGACGTAACCCTAGATTTAATTTTAATTGGACGAGACCGAATGTACTAATTTTTGTGCCGTTGGCCGCGATTAATTCGTATGGGAGGGGCTCTGTTTTGCCTTTATGATGATGACGCGGTAGACAGGAAAGGTCGGAACCAGTATCAACGAGAAATCGACGATTTGAATACCGGTCCGTAACGAACAAACGGCGACTCACCTGTGAGCAATCAGATGTCGCCATCACTGATTGCTTTTGGTGTTTCCCGGGTTGTTAGTGGAAGTTGCACTATTATTGGTCCAACTACATGGTGGAGTGCATTTCGCAGCATTCGCTGCAAACCGCTGGTGGTACCAGCAAAGCCGGGAAAGCGAGCGTGAACGACTGCGAGGACGGTTAAAAGACCGTCTGTGGTCACTATTTTTGGTGAGAGAGGAAACCGCAAGTGTCAGGTTGGCCACTTGCTGTTGCAGTGCCCGAAGCTGCTCTCCCATGTCATCATTTGCTGGACCAGAATTTTCTGCGCTATGGATACTTGCAGTTTGTGGGCCAATTTCATTTAGTTTATCGGCTAATTCACCAAGATCCTGGAGTGAGGCCTGTTTTTGGGCTATCAGTATTCCTTGATAAGTACTAGGTAACCTATTGAGCCAAATAGTTTGTATAAGTTGTTCTGGAACTGAGGTGCCAGCTAAAGATATTAGGTGCCTAAGAAAAGATGATGGTCTCCGATCTCCAATGTCTTCCTTTTCTAATACTTTTTTTATTTTTTCTTCATAGGAATCTGAGAAACGGTTAATTAACGCTGTTTTTAATGTAGTGTATGGTTGGTGAGAAGGTGGTGCGGTTATAATATCTTCCACCTCACCAGCAGATTTAGTGTCAAGTTGACTGACAGCATAATAATATTTGGTTAATTCTTGTGTAACCCTGTTAATATGGAACTGTGCCTCAAGGCTGGCAAACCACAAACCAGGCTTGTCCGGCCAGAATGGGGGAACACGGATAGTTACTCTGTTAATGATAGGTGGGTGTGTAGGTGATGTTTCCTGTTCACTGCCAGAGCCAGCTAGGTCATGGAATATTTCCTGAGATTTATCAGTCATTTTTTGTTTTATATTTTAAATTAAGAACTAAGTTGAGGAAATGTGTAGACATACAAATCACTCCAAAACAGTATAGTAACAGTTAAGTATATAGTGAGTTATTGAAAAAAAGTAAGCAGTGTTAATAAACTATACATATGCAATGCAAACATTCAAGCGAGACCAAACAAAATGTAATACCTAATAGTTTTTCTTAGCAGCTAACACCAATGTTATAATGGGTGGGTAATTATTATGTCCAATGCAATATGCAAGAATGCAAGCTATGGTATGAACTGTCCAGTATTTGTATCTTGATTAAGCCGCACTTTAAACACACATTGTGCTTATAGTAATTGTAGTAAAATATATGGTACAAACACACACTGACCGCTTTACTTGATGGAGAGTAAGTGTATCCACTGACCAACGAGCAGCACTGGCGGATGCCGCGGCGGTGCCAGTAAGGTTTTCTTAGGGACGTGATGCGGCAGGCAGCGACGAACAGCGACAGGCAGCGATGGACAAGGACGGCGATGGACAGCAACAGAAAGCGATAGGCAGCGATGGGTGACGACGGGCGCGGAGAGGCATCAACTTGCGTGTAGGTGCCGTGGCGTCAGGTCTTGTCCAATAGGTCTTGATGACGACTCTAGTAGGTAACTCCCCAGTCTGAAGTTTTCTTGGATCGTCGGGGTCACCAATTTGGCTTCGTACGCCGAGTAAATAAGAGGCGGACTTGTAAATAAAATATGTATTTAATATTGAATAATTGTAATATCTTGACCTCACACCGCTTACACATGTAACCGCCTAAAAAGTGGCGCCAAAATTCTTGTGACAAAATTAAAACCATAGATAGTCAAAGGCGACCATAAACAACATCTAGTATTCTATATTAACAATAACAATACTAATAGTGGGTCCCAGGGAGGGACGCCACACATTCATTCTTTGTTGAATGACGTTAAATTTTATTCATTCAACTCATTCATTGACTGCCTGAGCGTGAGCTTGTTGAAGGGCACGATTGTTTTGCATTGTCTTTAATATGCACTTATGTGGTCTTAATCTATTAGCTAACTGAAAATAGGATATAATATTATGCTGTGGTATTAAGAGACGGTTTTTATTTATTTAGTGTAATTCGTAAGATATTTAGGTAAGCAACCACAATGGCGGTGCTAGCGGCTGCTCAGCTGCTCGATGAGTTGATGGGCAGACACCGGAATACAAATCCTAACGAGAAGATCAAGAAACCTAACTGGGAAGATCCAGAGGTAATTAATCTTTTTTAACAGTAATCCATTCTTTCAATTGGAATTATTGGCACATATGGTATTTAGGTTAGCATTTTGACGCAGACGATAAAAAATGCATAAACGAAAAGTGTGCAGTGTTCTATTTTCTGTAACCTACAAAGCAAGTTAATGTTCCTTAATAAATAATATGATATCTTTGAAATAACTTTCGAATCTCAAATACAAGTAGCGGCATCAAAATGATGCTTGCATCAAAGAAATTGAAATTACCTATAAATAAGCTCAACCCCGAATGATGATCAAAAATCTGCACCTTAAAGATCCTAATTTAATATCTTAAATTGTACTTTTAATAAATGTTATTTGTTACAGTACTGTAAATATTATATGGTAAAGTTCTGTCCACATGACTTGTTTGTGAACACTAGAGCTGACTTGGGTGCTTGTCCAAAAGTACATGATGACGAAGTGAAAGAACTTTTTGAGAAGGCAGAGTCTTCTTATAAGAAAGCACAGTATGTTGAAGAATTCCTTCGGTTCTGTCGTCATATGATCAATGATGTTGAGAGTAAGTAGAAAGAAGATATAGTCAAAAAGAAATGTAACAAAGATAGTATAAATTTTTAACAATATGGTGCTTATCTTTTCAGGAAAAATTCAAAAAGGTAAACAAAGGTTGGAGCTTATGAATTCTAAGCCTGATGGGCCTCCTATGACTCAAGCCCAGACCGAGAAAAACCAGGAACAGGTTATTATATTTCTTAATGCATTTTTATTTAATTTGTAAGCTTATTATAGCATCAATTAAACTTTTAAAATAAATTGTCATTCAATACAAAAAAGTGTTTGCTTTCAGGTGCAATTACTATCAGAAAAAATAACATCACTGGTACAAGAAGCTGAGGAAGCCGGAACTCGAGGAGATGTGGAGCAGGCACAAGGCCTCATGAAGCTCTGTGATAGACTGAAAGAAGAGAAAGAACAACTCTTGAAACAGCAAGAGAACAGGTAATGCTGCAATACTTGTTTGAAAATTTCAATAAAATTTCAACTCAAAATTGACTATTTTACATGGTATAAATAAAATTTTGTCCATAAATAATTTAATCGAATAAGTTTGTTTTGTATAAGTTTTCGGCTTAAACTCGGAAAAATATAATGCATTTTATAATTTTTCAGTCATTGGTCTATGACGGCTGAGTTGGCAGCTGCACAAGAAAAACAGATGGAAGTGTGTCCGGTGTGTGGTGCATTCCTTATCGTTGGGGACGCACAACAGCGTATTGACGACCATTTGTCTGGGAAACAACATGTTGGGTGAGAAATATTTACTATATTTTTGAACCTTCATCTATTGTTACCTATATTGCATGAAAATTTACATATTTTAACAGTTACTTCAAACTGCGGCAAGCCTACGAAGAGATGAATGAAGCGCGGGAGAAGGAACAACAAGAGAAAGAGAGAAAACGTCGTGAAGAGAGGGAAAAAGAACGTAGCTCTCGTAGCGGTGGACTTGGGTCGGATCGACGTGATAGAGAACGAATGGAACGCGACCGGGAACGAGACAGAGATAGGAGTGAAAGAGGGGATCGTAGCGATCGTGGCGACCGTAGTGATCGTGGGGATCGCGGTGAACGCGGGGAACGTGGGGAACGTGAACGCGGGGAACGTGGGGAACGTGAACGTGGTGACCGTGAGCGAGATAGGGAGAATAACGACAGGAAGGAACGCGAGAAGGATCCAAAGGAGAGGGAAAAGGATAGGGAGCGTGAAAAAGAGAGAGAACTACGGGAACGTCATAGGTGACCAATCATATTAAATTTGTTTATTAATGAAAATGTTGACGTCAAATAAAATAAAACTTGATTTTATGCGCTGTTGTTCGTATTAACAGATCAAGTCGAGAAAAGACCAACCGTCATGAGGACCGTGAGCGGGAACGAGAGAGGGATCGTGAGAAGGATCGGGAGAGGGAGCGGGATCGCGAACGCAAGCATCGCAAGGAGAGAAGTTAGTACTCGGCATCCATGAGAAACACACGTGAATCAAGTTACAGAAACAATTTATGACTTACTTTTTTTATAGGATCCCCTCACGAGCGCTCGCGGCGACGTTCACGCGAACGCCACTAGCTAATGACTGAGGTATCACAAATGCGCCTGAAATCGGTAAGTATACAGCACTACGCCTCAACATCTACCAATGCGTAGTATCCAGGTACCTGCATCAATGACACATACCCCATACCATGTCACTACATTTTTGACATCAGATAACCAATAAACTAACATTTTATCAACCCACCCACACTGACACTACTCAATCCTCTCCCCAAGTTGAGACAATTACAAGTAATAAAGTGAACACTGTTGTTTTACAGCTTATATGTAGCATACCAAAATATTACTTCGGTATATGGCAAACATATGGGGAGTAAAGACACCCATTGCACTCTCGATTCGATAGTTGTCGTCACACCGACGGACTTGGCAGGTATTTGATTGGTATTTTGATAGTTGCCGAGAGCCAACAATGGGAGAAGACTTATTTGTTGATCGCCTTGCATTTTCTGACATCTAATATGTATGTTGGTTGTTAGAGTAACTACAAAGGCGATCTTCCAATAAGGTCCATTCAGACGAGCAGTCCGCTTCGACGTCGTTTTGAGGTATTTCACCATGTTATGTTTCGTCGTCGTCATTTGTCGCCAGTTGACTCGGGCCGAACGCAGGTATTTGTTAGGACACGCGTTCTTCTGAATAAGGCTTTGATGGGAAGGTGTTAACACCATTAGTTTGGAAATGTTTTTAATTTTTATCGTGTCTGTGATAATGTAGGTTATAAAAAAATATTTTTAATGTAAAGTACTTTACCTCTTTTCGTTGCATTGCAATCACATTATGAACAATGCTATGCTACGAAGACTTTTCTGGAGCTTAGATATTGGTGCTCTAAATATCACATTATGGATGCTGTTAGCACATCATCTACTGTGTATTTCCAGGTACCCAAAATATTGTTTGATGTGGCATCAAGTTTCATAGATTCTCATCCATTTTTTATTTACCTTTCAATTTTATTATTTTATGGAACATTTTAAGTTTTGAAACTTTATGTCATACTGTTAATTAACCTAAACCCCAATATCCTATGTGGAATGAAATGTCAATGATTATTAAAATGAAATACATCCGATTAATTTGTAAATTAATGAGCAACTTTTCACTTGGTAGTTTCTTTTTTTTATTAAAAGAGTTCCTCATTGGCAAGTCATTTCTATAAATCCCCGCTGCTAAGTACCTGTTACTAGCTTGCTCCATGGACTTTTCAGTTGGAAAGCCATAGACGAAGAAGGCCGGATCTCGCTGCTACCGTCATCAGCATCACATCAAAGAGGTACTTTTGAAATTAAGCACCCGTACAGAAGAGGCGAGGGTCACCACCATCCCGGACGTCTTCATTTGGCCATCGGTTTCGAGGTGACATAGAATAGTCACACGTATTATTAAGAATTTCAATGTTAGCACCAAAACTATTGGTTAATGAAATGCATGTAGCCGAAAGTCCCGCGTTACAAGTGGACTTGTTGTTATATTTTCCGATTAGATTTTAAATATTTGTAACAGTGTAGATATCACTGATATTTGATCTTTAGGAAGGTCACTGTTTTTTTCTGTAAACCAGTTCCTCTGAGGAGTCATCAGGTATTTATCAAATTATTTTTTATCTTTACTTATCGTAATGATGTTAACATGATTTATTGTGTATGTTGGGAATGAGCTGATAGCCAATGTCTTGAAGGAATAAACTATTGAATTGGTTTTTGTGTTTCATTTTGTACTCTATTTATTTTACCCTCCATCATCATCATCATCATATCAGCCATAGGACGTTCACTGCTGAACATAGGCCTCCCCCATTAACTTCCAGTCCTTCCAGATAGGCCGGTTGGAAGCACCTGCATCCAGCGGCTTCCTGCGACCTTAATCAGGTCGTCTGTCCACGTTGCGGGTGGACGTCCTACGCTGCGCTTGCCGGTACGTGGCATCCACTCGAGAACCTTTCTGCCCCAGCGGCCGTCGGTTCTACGCGCTATGTGCCCTGTCCATTGCCACTTTCAACTTACTAATCCGCTGGGCTATGTCGGCACCTTTGATTCCAATAATTCAGCGAAAGTAAATTTTACCTTGAATAGGCTAATGAATGGATATGATGTGCAAAGGAATCGTATTTGATCCGAAGATGGTCAATAAAAATAAGTACAGTAGGTACAGTAAGTCTTAAAAATTCCTTATTGAGATAATAGGGATATTTTACATTCTATGTAAGTGTGGAATATTGGGACTACTACGACCGATTACCAGTAGTGCTTTGGTACAATTGTATATGTAAATCATGCATCCATTTCACTAAATAATTATTATGCTACATATGCCAACGGCTAAGTGCCAGTTGATGCAAAAAAAAATTAACGTTCCTAGTATAAATTGTCAACATGGACAGGTATACATTTTATTAGAAAGTAATGATGTCCAAATAATCGTACAACAATATTAACGACCGCATCTTTCTTAGATGGCAACCAATGAATAAATTATTAATGTTGGCAATATATAATATGAAATTATCTACTGTCAGGACTTTTTGGCGGGAGTTCAAATATAGCGCATGAAAAGTTTTTTCATTTGTGATTTTTTTTGAATCTAATACTTTATTTCATTGTAAATTGCATGTAAATAGTAAAGTGTACATAATAGAGTGTATTAAACATGGATGTTGGCGAGGGCGGGGGCCCAAAACCCCCGGCCCCAAAAAAACATAAACTTAAAGACTTGGACGATGGCGGCGGGGGTAAGGAAAGTGATTTTTTACCCTATCTAAAACCCGGATACAAAAGACTTTATCCAGAAAACTCTTCAAATTTGGAGTTCAAAGTTTACGTGCAGGGTGAAAAAATTGGCAATAAAAGTCCAACCTTTTTAAATCATATATTTGTAAATGAGGTAAAAGGTGTAGTAGCGATTCGTAGAATCAATGCTAACAAGATTCCGGTGGTGTTCAAGCAGTATAATACTGCTAATAATTTTATAAGTAACTCTTCATTTCTGGAGAAGTACAACTTTAAGGCGTTCATACCAGCGGCAGACATAGAAAGAACAGGAATTATCCGATACGTACCCACAAACATATCTAACAAGGAGCTTTACTCAAAGCTAGAGTCGGAGTACGAAATAATTGCAGTGCGACGATTCACCAAGAAGGTTGGACAAGAACGGGTACCACTTCATACAGTGAGCATTACCTTTCTGTCCAGTTTTTTACCACAAAATGTACAATTTGACTTATTCTCTTACCGCATTTTTGACTATATCCCTCCTCTACAACAATGTTACCGTTGCTTCAAATTTAACCACTCAGCCAAAATATGTAATGGCAAACAAAAATGTAGCATTTGTGCTGGGGACCACTCATATAGAGAGTGTGATAACCCCTCAGCAATCTGCTGTGCTAATTGCGGTGGACCACATTTAGCAATTTCAAAGGCATGCGAAATTAAGTTAAAAAAGATAATGGAAAAAAAGGAACGTATTACATATGCTAGTAAGGCTGAAACTAAACTTAATGTGACTCAGGGAGATTTCCCACCATTGCGCAAACCAAGACCTCAGGTCAATGTAAATAAAAATTCTGTTGTAAATAAAAATGTAAATTCTGCACCTATAAATAATGTACCTGTAAATATTACACCTGTAAAATTACTGAACCTAAAATAATTTCTGTTGCTGACGTCAAGGCTCAACTCCTGGCAAATAATGACTTACTTAAGGCCATTGTTCGCACACTCATTATAATCGCCAATAAGGGCAAGGATGATCCTCCAATCAATACAACAACTATTAAAGATATTCTACTGGAGAATCTTACATAATGGATATAGACTCCAATATACAATCTCAGCTATGCATTGCTCAGTTTAATATACAAAGTGTATACAGTAAAAAGCCCTTACTCGTAAAGTTTCTTAATGATAAAAATATTGATATTTGCCTTTTAAATGAAACCTGGATTAAAGATAACAAACCTTTCCACATTCCTGAATATAATATACATTTCAAAAATGCAGCTAATGAACATGGGGGAATAGCTATCCTCATAAAACATAATTTAAAGTATACAACTTTACAAACCACATTTTATGAAGATGTACAAACTGTTGCAATTTCTCTTTCTACAGAGTTAGGTGACTTGTCTATTTTGACTGTGTATTGTCCACCACACAGTGGCCATATTAGAATAAACAAATTGAGAAATATCATAAAAGATCTGCCCAAGCCAGTGTTCATTTCAGGAGACTTTAATGCTCATCATATTGCTTTTGGCTGTGTAAGCACCAAGGGCAGAGGGCAGCAACTATATGATATAATTGATGAGTTGGATCTATGCTTGTTGAATGATGGCAGTTTCACAACAAATAATAGGCCTAATTGTAACCCATCAGCTATTGATATCACTTTTACAAGTGCAGTTTTAGCACCACTGTGTGATTGGACTGTACATGATGACAGTATGGGTAGTTATCATTTCCCTACAATTACAAATCTTACTTTAGCTGTTAATAAATATCAAACAAATCCTCCAATAGAGAAATTTTTATACAAAAAAGCAGATTGGGTGAAGTACTGTGAAATATCTGAAACTTTATTTAATGATATCAATGTGGATACTGAGAACCCTTTGAAGTCATATAATACCTTCTGTAATAGACTTAGCTCTTTGAAGTTACTTTGCATCCCAAAGTATACCAAGACTAGTTCATATAGAAGTAGGCCACCAGCGCCATGGTGGAATGAGAAGTGCGAACAAAGCGTTATTAAGTCTTATCAAGCTTTAAAATACTATAGAAGTAATCCTACAATGGATAACTACATTATATATAAGAAGTTAGACGCCTTGAAAAAGCGAACCATATCTGAAGAAAAGAAAAATGGTTGGCGCAATCTCTGTGAGTCTTTTAATAGAAATACTCCTATCAGTAAGATTTGGAACTATATTAAAATGTTTAAGGGTAGGAAAACTCATAATAAATCACTTTCTGATGAATTTGTTTTGCCATTCTTAGATAAACTATCAGATAATGGATCTGATGGTATAGTTGATGTTGATATGTATTTTAATATTAATAATGATAATAATGAGACACAGTTTTTAATTGAACCTTTTACATGGCATGAGTTTAATATGAGTCTTCATTCCCGAAAAAATTCTGCGCCTGGATTGGACAACTTTCCTTATATTTTGATAAAACATTTACATATATTGGTGCAAAAATTGTTTCTGAATATTCTTAATGCACTTTGGCTCCATCAAGTAATTCCACTGTCTTGGAAAACGCAATGTGTGATACCAGTGCTTAAACCAGATAAACCAGTCAATGATGCTAACTCATATCGACCTATTTCATTATCATCCTGTCTTGGAAAAATTTTTGAGAACATGGTTAAGATTCGTCTTGATTGGTATGTGGAATCGAAGTGCATTATCCCAACTATTCAATTTGGCTTCAGAAGAGGCAGAAGTTGTGCAGACAGCTTTGTTTCTCTTATCTCAGATCTGAAAAGAGCAAGAAATAATAATGCTAGTGCAGTATGTACCTTTTTAGATGTACAGGGGGCATTTGATAATGTGCAACCTGGTATTTTGATTAAAATACTGTCTGATTTAGGTATACCAGGACAATTTTGTAAATGGATATACTCTTTCTTAAATGAAAGAATACTATATGTAAAACACAATAATATTTTACATGGTCCTAGGCAAGTATCAAAAGGAACAATGCAAGGGGCAACTTTGTCCCCATTGTTATATAATATATATACATCTCAAATTTGTAAATATGTAAATATGGATAATGTAAATATTTTGCAGTTTGCTGATGACCTTGTTGTATATAGTGTACATAATGATATTGATTTGGCAATTGCTAATATTAATAACACTCTTAGTCAATTATATCACTACTACAACAATAAACTTCGATTAAATATCAATCCCAACAAAAGTAATGTAATGTTTATAACAAAAGATTTACCTAGCTTGTCTGTGTTATACAATGATAAAGCAATTCCCACAGTAAGCAGTCATAAATTTTTAGGTGTGCAAATTGATAATAAACTGACATTCCAAGGTCATATCAAGTACATTTTACAAAATTCTTTGAAAGGCTTAAATATCATGAGGTGTTTGGCAGGAGTCTCCTGGGGAGCTGACCCAGTTACTCTTGCTATTTTGTACAAAGCCATTGTAAGAAGCCATTTTGATTACAGTTGTCTAGCTTATATTGATTGTAATTATGTACATAGATTAGATATAGCACAAAACAAAGGTCTGAGGATAATATCTGGTGCCATGTGCTCAACTCCCATCCGTGCCATGGAAGTTGAGACAGGGGTGATGCCCCTTAGTATTAGAAGATATCTACTTGCTCAAAGATTTTCTGTAAAGCTATTTGCAGCTAATAATAATGAAGTTTTAAGAAGAATTTTACCTCAGTATCCAGTAGTTCATAATGTGTCTGGTGTGACTGGGGCTGGCCTTCACTGTCATATTATCCCAGATTTATCTCAGGTTATCCTGGAAGCACATTTTAAATTTTCAAATGTAATTAAAAGTTCTCATTGGGCATGTTACTCCACAAAGTACAAGATATTGTTATTTGAAGTCTCAATTATAAATACAGTAGTTAGTAATAATGAGGAGTTATTAAACTTTATTCACCTTAACAGTCATTATTATAGACTTTATACCGATGGCAGTAAGGGTTTGTCTCATGTTCGCAGTGCTGTTTATGATCCTCAAATTCAGTTTTGTCAAAGCTTTGAGCTTAGTCTTTTATGTAGCATATTCACTGCAGAGGCTTATGCAGTTCTTGAGGCCCTGAAAAAAATTTCATCAATGCATTACACAACCTATTTAATTTTGACTGACTCTTTAAGTGTGATTAAAGCATTAAAGAATACTAATTTTCATTTCAAAACAAATTATCTTTTAATTAAGATTCGAGAAGTTTTATTTGATTTAAAAAATAAAGGCATTTCAGTTTCTTTTATGTGGATCCCTTCACATAAAGGTATTACTGGCAATGAAATCGCTGATAGAGCTGCATTTGATGGGATAAATTGTATAAATGTATCTAATATTGTAAAGGTACCTTTTACGGACTGCTATGCACTGATTAGAGAAAACATAAAACGTGTATGGAAAGACTTCTGGAAGAAAGACCAAGAAGAAAAAGGAAAGTGGTATGGTACTATTCAATCGGACTTACCTGTGAGACCGTGGTATGACCAAAAGCAATACAAGTACGCCAGTCGAGATTTTATATCTACTATATGCAGGCTTCGATTCGGACATCATAGAACACCCGCACACCTTGCAAGACTCAAACTCGATGCAAATGACAAGTGCTTGAATTGTAACGTCTTATGCGATAACATGAGACAAACCCTTACTGCCATCGGTATAAAGTCTATAATAGTGACTGTTAAGGTGAATAAAGTTTAATAACTCCTCATTATTACTAACTACTGTATTTATAATTGAGACTTCAAATAACAATATCTTGTACTTTGTGGAGTAACATGCCCAATGAGAACTGTTAATTATATTTGAAAATTTAAAATGTGCTTCCAGGATAACCTGAGATAAATCTGGGATAATATGACAGTGAAGGCCAGCCCCAGTCACACCAGACACATTGTGAACTACTGGATACTGAGGTAAAATTCTTCTTAAAACTTCATTATTATTAGCTGCAAATAGCTTTACAGAAAATCTTTGAGCAAGTAGATATCTTCTTATACTAAGGGGCATCACCCCTGTCTCAACTTCCATGGCACGGATGGGAGTTGAGCACATGGCACCAGATATTATCCTCAGACCTTTGTTTTGTGCTATATCTAATCTATGTACATAATTACAATCAATATAGGCTAGACAACTGTAATCATAATGGCTTCTTACAATGGCTTTGTACAAAATAGCAAGAGTAACTGGGTCAGCTCCCCAGGAGACTCCTGCCAAACACCTCATGATATTTAAGCCTTTCAAAGAATTTTGTAAAATGTACTTGATATGACCTTGGAATGTCAGTTTATTATCAATTTGCACACCTAAAAATTTATGACTGCTTACTATAGGAATTGCTTTATCATTGTATAACACAGACAAGCTAGGTAAATCTTTTGTTATAAACATTACATTACTTTTGTTGGGATTGATATTTAATCGAAGTTTATTGTTGTAGTAGTGATATAATTGACTAAGAGCATTATTAATATTAGCAATTGCCAAATCAATATCATTATGTACACTATATACAACAAGGTCATCAGCAAACTGCAAAATATTTACATTATCCATATTTACATATTTACAAATTTGAGATGTATATATATTATATAACAATGGGGACAAAGTTGCCCCTTGCATTGTTCCTTTTGACACTTGCCTAGGACCATGTAAAATATTATTGTGTTTTACATATAGTATTCTTTCATTTAAGAAAGAGTATATCCATTTACAAAATTTTCCTGGAATACCTAAATCAGACAGAATTTTAATCAAAATACCAGGTTGCACATTATCAAATGCCCCCTGTACATCTAAAAAGGTACATACTGCACTAGCATTATTATTTCTTGCTCTTTTCAGATCTGAGATAAGAGAAACAAAGCTGTCTGCACAACTTCTGCCTCTTCTGAAGCCAAATTGAATAGTTGGGATAATGCACTTCGATTCCACATACCAATCAAGACGAATCTTAACCATGTTCTCAAAAATTTTTCCAAGACAGGATGATAATGAAATAGGTCGATATGAGTTAGCATCATTGACTGGTTTATCTGGTTTAAGCACTGGTATCACACATTGCGTTTTCCAAGACAGTGGAATTACTTGATGGAGCCAAAGTGCATTAAGAATATTCAGAAACAATTTTTGCACCAATATATGTAAATGTTTTATCAAAATATAAGGAAAGTTGTCCAATCCAGGCGCAGAATTTTTTCGGGAATGAAGACTCATATTAAACTCATGCCATGTAAAAGGTTCAATTAAAAACTGTGTGTCATTATTATCATTATTAATATTAAAATACATATCAACATCAACTATACCATCAGATCCATTATCTGATAGTTTATCTAAGAATGGCAAAACAAATTCATCAGAAAGTGATTTATTATGAGTTTTCCTACCCTTAAACATTTTAATATAGTTCCAAATCTTACTGATAGGAGTATTTCTATTAAAAGACTCACAGAGATTGCGCCAACCATTTTTCTTTTCTTCAGATATGATTCGCTTTTTCAAGGCGTCTAACTTCTTATATATAATGTAGTTATCCATTGTAGGATTACTTCTATAGTATTTTAAAGCTTGATAAGACTTAATAACGCTTTGTTCGCACTTCTCATTCCACCATGGCGCTGGTGGCCTACTTCTATATGAACTAGTCTTGGTATACTTTGGGATGCAAAGTAACTTCAAAGAGCTCAGTCTATTACAGAAGGTATTATATGACTTCAAAGGGTTCTCAGTATCCACATTGATATCATTAAATAAAGTTTCAGATATTTCACAGTACTTCACCCAATCTGCTTTTTTGTATAAAAATTTCTCTATTGGAGGATTTGTTTGATATTTATTAACAGCTAAAGTAAGATTTGTAATTGTAGGGAAATGATAACTACCCATACTGTCATCATGTACAGTCCAATCACACAGTGGTGCTAAAACTGCACTTGTAAAAGTGATATCAATAGCTGATGGGTTACAATTAGGCCGATTATTTGTTGTGAAACTGCCATCATTCAACAAGCATAGATCCAACTCATCAATTATATCATATAGTTGCTGCCCTCTGCCCTTGGTGCTTACACAGCCAAAAGCAATATGATGAGCATTAAAGTCTCCTGAAATGAACACTGGCTTGGGCAGTTCTTTTATGATATTTCTCAATTTGTTTAATCTAGTATGGCCACTGTGTGGTGGACAATACACAGTCAAAATAGATAAGTCACCTAACTCTGTAGAAAGAGAAATTGCAACAGTTTGTACATCTTCATAAAATGTGGTTTGTAAAGTTGTATACTTTAAATTATGTTTTATGAGGATAGCTATTCCCCCATGTTCATTAGCTGCATTTTTGAAATGTATATTATATTCAGGAATGTGGAAAGGTTTGTTATCTTTAATCCACGTTTCATTTAAAAGGCAAATATCAATATTTTTATCATTAAGAAACTTTAAGAGTAAGGGCTTTTTACTGTATACACTTTGTATATTAAACTGAGCAATGCATAGCTGAGATTGTATATTGGAGTCTATATCCATTATGTAAGATTCTCCAGTAGAATATCTTTAATAGTTGTTGTATTGATTGGAGGATCATCCTTGCCCTTATTGGCGATTACAATGAGTGTGCGAACAATGGCCTTAAGTAAGTCATTATTTGCCAGGAGTTGAGCCTTGACATCAGCAACAGAAATTATTTTAGGTTCAGAATTTACATTTTTATTTACAACAGAATTTTTATTTACATTGACCTGAGGTCTTGGTTTGCGCAATGGTGGGAAATCTCCCTGAGTCACATTAAGTTTAGTTTCAGCCTTACTAGCGTAAGTAATACGTTCCTTTTTTTCCATTATCTTTTTTAACTTGATTTCGCATGCCTTTGAAATTGCTAAATGTGGTCCACCGCAATTAGCACAGCAGATTGATGAGGGGTTATCACACTCTCTATATGAGTGGTCCCCAGCACAAATGCTACATTTTTGTTTGCCATTACATATTTTGGCTGAGTGGTTAAATTTGAAGCAACGGTAACATTGTTGTAGAGGAGGGATATAGTCAAAAATGCGGTAAGAGAATAAGTCATATTGTACATTTTGTGGTAAAGAACTGGACAGAAAGGTAATGCTCACTGTATGAAGTGGTACCCGTTCTTGTCCAACCTTTTTGGTGAATCGTCGGACTGCAATTATTTCGTACTCCGACTCTAGCTTTGAGTAAAGCTCCTTGTTAGATAAGTTTGTGGGTACGTATCGGATAATTCCTGTTCTTTCTATGTCTGCCGCTGGTATGAACGCCTTAAAGTTGTACTTCTCCCGAAATGAAGAGTTACTTATAAAATTATTAGCAGTATTATACTGCTTGAACACCACCACAATCTTATTAGCATTGATTCTACGAATCGCTACTACACCTTTTACCTCATTTACAAATATATGATTTAAAAAGGTTGGACTTTTATTGCCAATTTTTTCACCCTGCACGTAAACTTTGAACTCCAAATTTGAAGAATTTTCTGGATAAAGTCTTTTGTATCCGGGTTTTAGATAGGGTAAAAAATCACTTTCCTTACCCCCGCCGCCGTCGTCCAAGTCTTTAAGTTTATGTTTTTTGGGGGCCGGGGGTTTTTGGCCCCCGCCCTCGCCAACATCCATGTTTAATACACTCTATTATGTACACTTTACTATTTACATGCAATTTACAATGAAATAAAGTATTAGATTCAAAAAAAATCACAAATGAAAAAACTTTTCATGCGCTATATTTGAACTCCCGCCAAAAAAGTCGTGACATTAGTCACATAGTGTTAGTATGCAGTGACTACAACATGCAAAGGTTGATTTTAGCCAGTGAACTAAGTGAAATTGTAGATAATGTTTCCTCCCGCCGCCTAGAAGATCTACTACGTGATCCAAAGTGTTTAGTGCCGTTATACAATTTCATTAAAAATACTCTGGAAAGTATATAATAACATAAAACCGAGTAAAATAAAAGACTTGGCTTAAAGGACTCGTATCCAGGCCATAAACTCCAAAAAAAAAAAATATCTACTGTCAAAGTCAATGTCATTGTCGAACTTTTACTGTAAACCAAAACAAAACAGTGTGTTTCGATAAATATTTTTGTAAATATTAGTTTCTCAAGTTAAAGACATCAATAAAACAAATAATTGTACCATGATCGACACTACTGAAGTCGGTGACAGTGAAATAACAGAAGAACAAGCTGCTGGAGCGGCACTTCGAGAATTATTTCTGAAAGCAATTGGGGAACTTAATGGTAGGGATAGCAATACTTAGTTTTTTTTATTATTGACTCGTTTATCAATCAAGGGATAAGAAGTTTAGCTGTTATACAAAAGTTCATACAATCAAAGAAGATGTAAGACAACCCCAAGATAACTATAATAATAACTCACTGGGGCTGCCTCAACTTTAGTAATATGAGCTACACTAAAACCTTTTTTATAAATAATTATTTACCGGTAACTATTGCACTGAGAAACTAAAGAAAAATGTGGACAAATTTTTTTTCTAATAATTATACTTATTGCATTAATCAATTGAATTTGTTCCTAGGTAAACCTTGCAGTATACTGACATATGAAAAGACGACATTGAATGCTATATTTGCTGCATGGCATCCAGATGGTTCAGAGATCATAGTCCGTGATCTGCAGACACCAGCATGCTTCACAATGTCTACAGCACTGCTCAGAACTCCAGATGTATTAGCTATTAAATTTGATCAACCTGTTGAACTACCATAATAATTATATTTAAGTATATTATTATGTATCATAAAAACATAGCTCTATTTTTGTTTGACATTTCGTTTATCTTGATTAGAGTATCTAAGGCTTCCAATTAGGAAATACCAGTCAATAAATTGGTATTGTTTAATTGGATGTGATATAATGAACAGCAAGAACATTTCTCATATGGCTTTTTATTTCACACTATCTTTTTGGCTGCAGCAGGCATGTTATTTAGAAGAGTTGTCTTTAAATCAACTAAAAAAAAACCTAAAATATGTGAGAAGCAGATAGCAGCCGTACCGAAACCATGTAATATCTATCTAACTAATAAATATCAAGGTAATCAATTTATCCCAAATATCGAATAGTCCTAACTGACAAATGTATGTATCATATAATATATTATGTCGAAATAGATTTTGTTTTTGTCTAACTAATGTTGCTCATTACACACAAACAAACCAATTAGTTTTATTTATCCTACCAATCCTAGAGTTACTATGCGTAAGTATTGCAAAAAGGAGTCCAATATTTATGTAGGTAATCTAGGTAGTATTATCATGTCAAAGTAGATTGATGATAATTACAAATATATTGTTATTGGGTATTTTGTTTCTGTTACGACCACAGGTTACGACAACAATTTTTCGGTGAACTAAACATTGCTCCTTTCTTAAATTTCGCCTATGTCCAAGCGGACTTGTTCCGTGCATGCGAAAATCGCCTCTGCGACAATTTATGCAGCTGACACTGCATAGAGTTAGGTATATGGAGTGCCTGTCAGAAACAAAGATTCATCCAGACATTTTCAACTAGGATCGGTTTAAATTTCTAGGGCGAATGTTTGAAAGGAAGACAGCGTGGTTTTTGCTTGTACTTAGGCCTCCTACTCGATGCGGTCAGATTATGAAGACCCTTCTGCGTCAATTTCTCGCACGATTTTACTCCATTCTGTCTGGACCATAGTGGAATTTAAAGCAGTGAGGATCGGACCAATATATTGGACTACGATCACGAAGCCTTCCCGTCCCGTCCCCTTTTGCAGTCACATTTATTCTCTTCAGATTTTTTTAACCTTTCCACCAATGTAGTTTCCCTCAAAGGAACTCAAAGGTTCCTTCATCTAATTTTTCATATATAAATTGACGTGTAAAAGTGCCGTTTTATGGCCTATTTGCAAAAATAAATTCTATTGTTTTATTGATGACAGCCGTGATGAGATTTTGCAGTTCACGCAATATTGTGGTGTTTCTTTTCTTGTCTTACTTCTTTTCGTGTCCCTAGACCAAGAAAACAAGTGATTGAAACTGATTTATATTGCGATCTCTCCATATTTTACCAAGGTGAGACATATCGCTCTTAACCACGCCAATTCTCCTGCTCACTTTCTGTTTGGATCCGCAACCCCGGACTGGACATCAGTTCTAGTGGAGCCAATATGTAGTGGTCTGATAACTCTTTGAGGCATTAGGATTCCCGGACCAAGACTGAGAGGTCGCTCCCGTCGATCGCTTCCCTGAGAAAACGGCGGTGCTTAGTCTATAATAAAATAAGGCACCCCTCCACCGTATACTTTTCCGTTTCCTCCGGAAGATCCTTGCAGTGACGACACCCTGGCTTTTCCTTCAGCTGGATCCGATGCAGGTTCCTGACGAAACTACCGTGTCCTGTAAGCAACGTGCGTCAGGCGGAAGGTGCCTGGATGCCTTGATCTCGCTGTAATCACTCTCAAAGAAGGGTCTTACCGCTGCGATAACAGCGTCACCGACCGACGGTAGCTGATGTAGAAACCCAGCTAAATTAAATTGTCCATTATTGCTAAAAAAATTGCCGAGCGTCGAGTAAAGAATGTCTCTTTTCAGCGTTTAAATGATCATATTTTTAAATACTACTACAAATATAAAAATATTTGAATTATTTTTCTCTTGAACCACTACAGCTCTTAACTGGTAGGTACTTCTGTAGAAGGATTACGAATTCTAAGCTCACAGTGCACTGGACGTGATCACAATATTCGTATGAAGTTTGCAAAGCCACCTTAATGCAACTCCTTTGAGTTGTTTGTACTACACTACTAGGTAGAACTAGTTCCATTTAAATCGATTCTATTCTGCCAATAGTTAGATGTTAGAATTTTATGATAAGTCGTTAAATGCCTACAAAGGTCAAATTAACAATGTGATAAAAAAGCTCTTGTTACTCTTTTGTCTCATCTCTCTGAAATCGGGTATTTAGGTAATTACCAAGGTAGGTAAGTTGTTGGTCTGGCATGCACCTCTGTAAAACATAACCTAGGTACTTATTTATTACAAAAACAGAAACGACTAAACTCTGTAAGTCACACACAGATTTGTTGTTTATTCTTACAAACATCGAACCCGCGACACGTTGCACAGCAGCTACAGCGCTAACCTTGCCATCAAAAAATGTTATATGTTACTACATACTTAGATATATATTGTGAAGCCGAAATTATAGACACATTGAACTTGACAAACACCGCAGTCAAAACAAAACACTGTCTACTTACCTACCTCCTAAGTTGCCATGTTATTCTACAGTAAACTAAAGTCACTCTGCACAGCTTAGCTGGTTTTAATGGGTTCCTAAAGGCAGTAGAACACCGAAAAGTCGCTGCATAATATTGTGTATGTAGGTACAAGGTAACTGTGAAGGCCCCTGGTACAGACCTGTTGCTCAATCGATTCGCTGAGGTCGCTTTGCGGCGCACACTCAACGGAGGCTTTTTATGTGGCCCGGCCTTTATTTCAATGCTCCCGTGCTCAATATTGCCGATTAGGGATTATTTTATAAAATATTTTATTTAAATCCGGTTGTCTACTTTATGTGTGTGGCGAGGCTACCCTTTTATTCTTAGGCCCGGATTTATTGATAAACATGGGTTACAGGTACCCGTAGGCCCGTTGGACGCTACGCTTCTTATAGGTACCTACTAACATTTAGATATGAATAGATGTTATAAAATGCTATTCTTTTGTACCTACCTAATAAGTACCTAATCTAATAATAACATAAATGCTTTCTATTTCGAAGATTTTAAAATATTTTTTTGATCGTAAGCGACTAAGCGAGGGCCTTCGCTGAGTTCTAGTTGGGACTATGTGGTCTATATTTACACGCACGGGGATTCCATATTATTCTCTGATTCTTCTTCGGAATCTAACCCTAGTTTATGATTATTAAAAATATGATTTGCAGAACACTTATTACTCATTGTATCTGCTTAGTTTTTATAAAATGTATAGTAGATCGACGTCATTCATAGCACGCAGCAAATCCAACGTAATTCTATTAAAAAGGCCTGAAGCAGGAAAGATCGATATAGCTCGGATTATGGTAATGCATGCAACCCAGTGAAGCTTAGAGGAACACGCTGCCTTCTCGTTTATGCATCACAGCGTTTCGTCAGTATCTATTCCCGGTTATTTATTTTACGTTTTGCTTGTTTTGAATATTTCTCTCGTCATTCAATTTAGAGCCTTATTGTTGACATAACTTAGAGAAGAGGTTTGTAATTTGAATAGTTTGTTAAAACTCATTGTAGGTAGATCATATATCTATACTATACTAGCTACTCCCACGCGGTTGCACCGGCTGCTCGGCTCCATTTGATCGTAGCGTGATGTTTTATAGCCTATAGCACTCAGGAACATTGTAGCTATCTATCAGTGAAAGAATTTTGGCAATCCGACCAGCGGTTTCAAACATTACCCTCTACATACAAACTTACAAATTTTACCTCTTTATAATATTAGTATAGATAACTGAATTTTGTGTTCGTTAGTCCATTTATCGAGAAAGGCTTTAGACTATAAAACATCACGTTACGGTCTGTAGGTGCCGAGCAGTGGAACTGCGCGAGATTAGCTAGTGTACAAGTATTGATAGGTAATTGTGTAATGAAGTAGATAGTTACCTTTATTTATGACGTAACAATGAAACAATTAAATTAATTTCGTAAATAGGCCATAAAACAGCACTTTTACACGACAAAATTACATGTTAAAACCTAGATGAAGTAGAAATCTGCGAACTACTTATGTGATTATACATGGTTCCTGGTTTTATAATCTGAGCTAAAATATTAGTCCGAATTTCTCTTAGAACTCGTCTGAGACTCTTGTGCTTAATTCGTCGGAGTTAGATAAGGTAACAAGAGTAATTCCGTCCGGACTTTCAACTAACTCAAAACGAAATAGCCCGATGAACAAGGGCATGTAAGCACAGTAACTTGTCTAAATGCATTCATTCTGAGACGACGAGAGTAATTGCTTACAAAACTTCTTAACTAGATTAACAACTTAATGAACTTTGAGTAGCTACTAGCTACCCGTATTCGGGACGTTTTGGGGATGTTTCAGACCGTTTCTAGGATTAAGACTATAACTGCTTATTAAGATTTGGCCGTACTGTTGCTTTGCTTTTCATATTAAAAAGGCAGAAGACGAATAGCTTTTTGTCTCTCCAGTTCTCTACCCACTAGCGCCCAATCCTCAAATCACTAGCCTTAAAAAGGGCAGCAGCGCGTGTTTAACTACTAATGTTCCATGTGGTGTGATGGTAGTGTGTAGACGGCACGTGTTGAATGTGTGATTCAAGTCTTCCCATTAGGTATCTATGTGTTCTACTAATCGGAATAATCATTTTTCTTTATGTTGGAATAGTAGGCCCCAACAAGTAGGTAACAAGCTTATTAGATTATTTAATTTTGTCGTCCGTCGTTTGTATTTTCCTGTGAGAGCAGCCTAATGATGTTAGGTCAACATAACGTGATATGGCTCTAAGCGTCCGCAGCTGGCCAGTTACACTTTAGTGATATGTAAATTTTGTAATTGTGCTCTTGATTCTGTTTTCCTGCAGAGCTCTGAGTTTATCTAGTAATACTCGTAAGTTCCCAGTTTTCTAATAAATATTTATCTAAAGGTTGTCTGGACGAAATCACTATGTGTGATAAGAAAGAAGGCCTATTACAAAGAGCAGGCTTACACCCAGAGGTTGTAAGCCTACTCTTTGTGAAATTTTTAATTATAAGGTTTAAAGTGTGTTAAAACAAACCCGTACTACTTATTATTTTTTTTTGTATGAGGTCGTTTGCAAATTATTGCCTTCTTTAACCTATTCTCATCATCT